ACGTATTAAAAATGTGATTATTAATAATTTCAATAGATTTATCTTTTCCTGAAGTGTTGATCTGTGTCTGTGAATCTTCAAGTCGGAGAAATTTATTTTATTTATTTATATATATATTATATATATATATATATATATATATATATATATATATATATATATATATATATATATGTGTGTGTGTGTGTGTGTGTGTGTGAATAAATGTGTTTTACTATAAAAATACCAATAAGAAAAAACTCACACAATCGATCAGTGTTTCTGAAGGGTAAAGCTTTTTAGGCAAGCAGTCTTGTAATTAAAGTGCTCATTATCCAGAGATAAAGTATTAATAGCAATAAATAAAAATTAAATGTTAAATACGCGTCAAGATGTCGGTTAATAAAATTAAATTTATTAAATATATATTTCTTAAGACGCTGCTTAATTGTCCCAAGACAATTTTTTTTACGTCAAATTATTAAAATTTTTCGATTATAATTTATATAATTTTATTTCTTGGGATATATATTCTACAAATATAAAAAATATAAAAATTTCTTTAAACGTGAACTTTAAAATGCTGTTGGATTGAAAATGAAAAGTGATTACATTTCATATTCCTATATTTATCCTAAGACGAACAGAAAAATAAAAATTTTGAAAAAAAAAACAACAAAACAAAAAATAGAAAACAAAGAAAAGACTATTGAACTGTTATGCAATATCAATTTCCCTATATGAATGCTGTACAATCTCCTCAAAGATGAGGAGACTGGAAGCATCAGAAATATGGTTTCCAGAAGGATGCTGAGGATACCATGGACTGAACATAAGCAACGATGAAGTTTTAGAGAAAATGGAAACAAAACCTTAGCATCGGGAAGAGATAATTAAAATTTCTAGGGCACAGAATGAAGAAAGGAGGCTCAGAAAATTCGATTTGCCAGATTGAAGGCAAGTGAGATGGAAAAAAAATGCATAAGCTACTTAGTGAGCTTTAGTAAATGGATGACAGAACAAGGTTTAGGGGAGATAACACAAAAATAAATTTATTAAGTACAAAGGACATGAAATTGTAGAGAGCCATGATAGTCAACGCCCTGGAGGAAGAGGTGGAGAAGAGCTGTCTATTCAACTCTTATATGCACACGCTTCCAGTAACTCAGTCTCATTTACATATCTACAATTTCGTCACTGCTGCTTGAGATATTGACACTGTAATATCTGTAATTTTGTGCATGTGTACTTGTAAAATTCGTTCACTAGCTTAGTATGAGTAATATTTAAATCTTTAAAAAGAGATGTAGATCAGTAGTTAATGACAAGCACTTAATTCAGACAAGTTTGCATTCAAAACAAGTTGAACGACAAGTTGTTGCCAAAAAAGAAACAAATATCTACATACTCTTTTGTAATACAACAAAAACTGTTTGGTCATCGAAATCAACACTGCAATTAAAAGTGAAGTAAAAGAATTGTACTCATTGTCCCGGGAAAGAATCGTTGCATTTTATCTGAAAGTGTCTTCACCTTTGATTTTTTTTTTCCTTTCACATTTCTAATGTTTTTTTTTCTCGGAAAAAATGTAGCAATCATAAAATTTATCTAGTTCCATTTTTAAATATTTCCACTGTTATCACCATTCCCCTTCTTTTCATTATCATAATTTATCTTTTTTTTTTTAAATCTTGTAAACAATATCAATGGAATAAATGAAAGTATTAAGCTTTTGAAGTGGCCTTTATCAAAATCTCTTATTGGTCATGTGACATCGCGTGCTGTTGCTCGAGACAATGAATCGTGCAGTAGGTTGTCCATGCTAGAAGCAATCTGGGAGGACACGAAAGCATCGTCTCATTAATATTCCTGGTTTTATTGTTTTCCAATTATATGTGGTTGACATGAATCATTGACGAAACCATTGAATATGCATTACTGAACAAAATCAGAGGCATGTATACGGCTTCATGAAATCACTTACACACACGCACAGTATGTAGGCAGGGAGTACACATACTTAGTCAAGAGAGACGTGCAAGCATAAAGACAATATGAAGATTAATTGGATGCGGCCAATATAACGAACGTTTTCCAATATTCATACAAGAACATCCGTTTTGCCGCGATGTCACAGACAAAGGGTGTCTTCATATCATTGAACAATCTGTAAATAAGTTCTAATTGTTTGTCTGCAGACCACTGGGTATAAGGGTGAATAGAGTTTTATCAAATATACTATAAACCAGGGGTCTTTAAACTTTTTCAACCAGTGACACCCTTTTTGTTTCTCTTCCTTCCCCAGTGAACCCTATTTATGATATCTTTGAACCTTAAAACTCGCACTGGTGTTGGCAATTAAAATGTTAACTAAAATGTATGAAAAGTTAAGAAATTTGGATCAGGTTCAGAATTACCCCCCCCCCAAAAAAAAGCAATGCTCAATGTAACATTAAATAAGTCTCATCAAAAGAAGTTAAAATCTACTTGGATAGATGTCAATAAGGCTTTTGATTCTGTTGATTGTCGAGCTCAGTGCCTTTCTTATCGTCCTTGACTATCATCGACCCCCTGAAACTCCTCACAGACCCTTAGATGCAAATAAGGCTTTTGATTCTGTTGATTGTCGAGCCTTTCTTTCATTGACACCGAAGAATACAACATACACGAACCAAAACTTAGCTCACCGACACCCATTGGACACCTTGACTATGATCGAAACTTGGACCTTGATCGAACCCCATTTAACGACCCCTGCTATAAAACGAAACTCTGAAATATTAGGTCTATGTTTGTGATGCTGAATATTCGGTTTTCAGATAGAGTGGTTCCTATTTTTATTATTATTTTTTTTTAATGTTTCCTTACTTCCTTTCTGGTATGAAGTTAGGTTGTCTTGATTATCTAAGGAACGTCATTAACTAGATACCTAAACAGTAATTCAAATTTTCTCAGAAGTTAAACTGCGGAGCTATAAAAGTTTTTCAGGTTAATTTATATTACACGCACATCTCACAAGCCGAGATAATAGTTTTAATTTTTATGAAACAATTTTAATTTACCGAGCATGTAAATTTATAACCAGTCTCTTGTAATTAGTCAAGGGTATTCGCTACCATACACGAGTCTAGAACAAATTTTAATTTCTAACCATAAAAGGATTTTCACCGAGTGGTTTGTCGTGCACTTATATAAGCTAATGTCATGCACGTAATATAAATATATACACACAATTTGGATATATATATATATATATATATATATATAAATTCAATAAGAAAAAAAAAAAACTTTACGTATACTTTTGTTCGGACCAACCCACAATCAGTAAAATCCCGAAATTTATCGAATTATTGTCTTTTAAACAACAAAAAAGTAGTTTATTTTCAATTTCGTTTAGGTTTAATCTAGATATTTTAAAATATATGCTGGTTTCAGGAAGTAAAGTGCTCTCGTAACTCAGTTGTTAATTCTGCCATACCCACGTTGTATGCCTCATATCAATTTACAAGATCGCTACTCATTCAATTGTTTTAAATGATATTTTATGACTTGACTTATTTTAAGATTATTAATCGGCGTTTAATGAAGAGTGTCATAAAATTATTATCTGGACAGGCGACTTTTATCGGTTTTGTCAAGGAGAGAAAAATAAGTGTGTTGCGCACTCATTATATATTGCTGATAATCCCTGATGAGTGGACGGACGGGTCTGTCTACGAAACTCTGGGGTTGAGATCCTGAAGGTAACATCAATCAGCTAAGTGACAAAACTTTTTACTTATATATCTCCACACACACACATACACACACACACACTTGGGAATACCAGGTGTTGTAAGCTTGGGTCTGCGGATGGTGCAATGGATAATGGCCAGGAATTGTTAATCGGAGAGCCAAGTTCCAATTCCAGTTGGGTTCTTTATACTCACTTATGCTCAAATACCCTTGGGAAAGATATGAATTCACCTTTTCTCCCCCAGCTATGGGTTAGTTCGTAAGATCTATATCACTAAATTATTATCTCAAAAAATTCTTACAATCTAAGATATTTTCTGGCGTTAAATGACCTGCAAAGTGTTGATAAGCCGTAAAAAACGAATCAATCTGTATGGTAACTTATGAGGAACAAACTAACTGACGATAGAAAAGTCTTACGAGATACGGAGTTTTTTTTAAAGCCGATTCACATTTTAATCGCAAATTCTTAATACCATTTTACATTAATGTTACGGGAGAAGGTTAGAAATTTAAAACTATCAATAAAATGCATCAACATATAGAATTCGAATTCCAATCAATTTTAGCAGAATAAATTATATCAATCCTTGAGTGTCAGTGGCAGGGAAATTCTATTTTCACGTATTCATTGACTTGCTAATTGCTTAAATTAGGTAAGTAATTTAAAACTAAATGCTTTGGAGTTCAATTCTTGAAGATTCTATTGGTGGAAAAATAACGAGGAGGAGAAGGAAGAGTAAAAGTGTTAAAGCGTATTGGCTTTGAACGCAGAACTCTCCTTTTATATGTCCCACATAAGACATTCTGATCGATAAATATTCACTCACATATGTTCACAGCCAAACCAGATGCTATCGATTTGCTCAGCCCAAGGGTCGGTTGGTCGTTAGGCTTTCGCATTGGATGAAGACCGGGCTTCGATAAAATAAATATCGTAATTATCAGTAAGGTGAAGACGGCAATGGATTGAACTTCGAAAAGATATTTCCATCTGTCGTGATAGGAAGTCATATTTATACGGATTTGAACGGCACGTGTAGAAAGTACGGTCGATGAAAGGGTAGAATTGTAAATGGGTGAAGAAGGAGATGAAAGAAAGTGGAATAGTAAAGTTTATAAACGTGGAAGGAAAAAAAGTGAAGACAATTTTAGAAATTACCGGAAGGAAATATATTCATCGAAAGAGGAACTCAGACGAAAGAAACGGGAAAAAAAAAAGTTGTCAATGCTGATAAAAGAGGAAAGAGATGATTAAAAAGGAAAAAGATCAGGAGAAAAACTTAGAGCAAGAAGTAAAAAGGGTCATGAAAGAAAAAAAAAAAGAAAGTAAAAAGGGAATAGAAGAAAGAATACTAAAAAGAGGAAAAGTAAGGAGAAAAAGGAGAGAAAGCTACTGAATGAAAAGAAAAAGATGAATAGTAGAAAGAACTAAAAAGAAAATGTTTAAAAGAAATAAAAGTATAGAATAGACGATTGTTTTAACGGAAAAATGTTATATAAACATAAATATCAAGGTAGTCTATATGTATAACATAAGTAAGCGGTATTATTTACACTATTTACATTCAGACAATTGTCTGAATCTTTATTATCACAACTTTTCATCCGCTGTGTCCTTCAGCCTTCATCGGGTAGAACGAAAACAGTTTACCCATGTAGATTAAATAAATGGTTCAGTTCGGTATTCCCTGTAGGCTACCCGGATTGATAGATACCTGATGAAGGCCGTGGGAACGAGGCACAACGGCACGAAATTGTGGCCTAAGATCGAATTAAAAAAAAAAAAATCTTTTCTGTCTTATTTTCTGGGATGAGTTATTTACATTCGGACTATTTTCCTAATCTTTATTGCTGATATTACAACGTTTCGGCCGTTGTGTCCCCCGGCCTTCATCAGCAACAAAGATGAGGAAAACAGTCCGAATGTAAATTCGGTAAATAATGATAATTGCTCATCCCAGAAACCTTTTGAATGACTTTTTATGCACTTTGCTTTGTCACTTAACTAGTAGTTGGGGCGAAGAGGTGGGTTCATATCTTTCCCAAGGGCATTTGTGCGAAAGTAAATGTAATAAACTATGAATAAAATATGAATTCGGCTCATCGACTTCTTTTTGAGCCGCTAAAAATTACGCTACATAAATGTATGAAACAATCCAATGGACAAGAACGATTAAACAATCGTGAATGACATTTCGAATCTTTCTTTCAGTAAAAAGTAATAAGAATTCTTTTTGACTACCATTTAAATATAGAAAAGTTTTCACAATCATTAGATACCATTTATGTTGACATGCTGAACACCTTCCCAGGAACGAATACCAGTTTTTTTTTTGTTTTTTTTGGGGGGGAGGGAGGTCATTCTGTTTATAAATCCATTTTTTCATCGCGAGATATATATGTACAAATATGTAGAAAAATAGGAAAGAACACGTTAGGCAAATAATCCGGAGTTCTTTAGTATTTTTGTTAAAAAAAAAAAAAAAAAAAAAAGTGCTCCATACAGAAGTAGAGCGTAACTTATAATTATTTTTTAAGGAATCATATTTCCTGCGAAGGAATCATTTTTTTTTAAATGTGTGTATGTGAAATTATCTGTACAATTTTAAAAATGAAGATTAACTCTACAGGATTTATTGGAAAACAGGTAAACAACAAGTTTTTTTCAGACACATCAGAATACTCCCACACGGGCTTAATTGGATTGCATGCAACCAATTTAGACGATGTCCAATTTCTAACCACGTTTGTTGGAGTATCTCATCAACGGAAGATATGGTTTCTTTTGAGATCATTGAGGTTTTGAACTGCCAATCCACCAGCTTAGAAAAGATTCACCGAGAAACTCACAAACAGCCAACCCTCAATGAGCTAGTGCACCATCCTGCTGGAAAATAAGTGCTGGTTGCAAGCAGTGCAACTGCAGCATAAATTTAAAAAGAAAAAAAAAAGTAGTAATGATACAATAAATTGTGGAAGTTATACAGAGAAGTTAAGGCCACTTATTCAATAAAACCTTGTGATGAATAGAAAATATGTGAAATGAGAATTTCAACTTAATGTATCAACATTTATAGTAACTACCGTTAAACTTTCACATTTGTTATAAAAAAAAAAAAAATGTTAAACGCTTAATTCTAAGACTTAGCAAGTTAAAGTGATCAGAATCAATGTACGATTTCTAATCGATGTTAAAAAGAATTGCAAATGCAGGTATGGATATTTAAAGATTTTCCATCGCTAAAAAAGGGTACCAACACCAAGAATTTTTTTTAAGTTCTAGAAGCCAGTTCGCTGTGTTAAACAATGATAATGTATATATTCATAGATTTTGCTAGTTAGCCTCATGAGTGTTAGGGGGCGAACGCTCAACATTAAGGAACTGTAAATAATTGAAAGTATATTAAATAAAAATATTTCTACCACGAAGTGACGATGTATGTCAGACAAGTGATATAATATCCATTACAATTCCCGAAAATTGCGATTGTCTAGATTTTTTTAATTTTCGACACAAGGCAGACGGTGTGACCAGAATACGCATTTGAGATTTAACAATAAAGATTATTCTGACAAGTACATAAATGTATACACGACAGATCACCAACCAGAATAGAGTCAGCATATGCCGGACGCCGGTCAGAGCTTCATGTGCAGACCATGACGAACGCAGCTAATGATAATTGGTTGAGTCAGATTAATTATGGATATTTATTATGTGACATTACACAATTACGGCACAAGGCCAAAATGGAAAGGGGTAATCACTAACCATCTTATACCCTAGCTAATCCGATTCACGACTCATTCACGCATTACAAATCGCCCATTCACCACAAAAACTCATCCATCACCAATCAATTCTCGATGCACCATAAGACCACATCCTCTCAAATGGGACCCACGTAACGCGCCCCGTGACATGAAAACTTAATAAATAATTATATATAAAAATCTATGATGAAATATGAGAGGGGAGGGAGATGAGCCCAATAACAAACTAAAATATTAACACAAAACAAACTAAACATAACTGATGTTAGTAGGACCCGTCCAACCCTCAAAAAAAAAAAAAAAAGAGATTCTACCCATTTGGACAAAATCAAGAGGCTCTCTCGCTAAGGGAGAGGGAAAGGAGAAAAATATACGGACATGGGAAATAAAAAGCTGACCCATTCGAGATATAGTCAGATTAAGTATGTCTGGTGAATCGGTGGGGGGTTCTCACCAGCACCCCACCCCCCAGGAAAAATCATTTACCACCTCAACGTGAAAATGATGTAAACTAATTTTAGTACAGTATTTACATTAGTCGGACTATTGTCCTCATCTTTGTCGCCATATTTGGTGGTTGGAATTTCGAACTGAACCCTTTATTTCGATCGCTGGGGTAAACTGTTCTAATTCCACGTGCCATGTTTGATGGATGTCAGTTATCAGTTATCTCCTGCTAATTTTCCCTCTGTAATTTTCCGACTCAGTATTAATGACCAGCCGAACTAGTCTCGTTAATCATTTAACCTACGCCGAGGTGTCTGGAAAAATACTTGTTAGATTCAAACCTCACTGTATCATTCTTATTCATTGTATTTTACAATATGCATTTTTACAAAAAAAAAAAACCTTATAGAAGTTCCGTTTGTAAAATATAAGAAAACATACGAACAATACAAACCCTAGACTAGGCTTTTCATGGCAGAGGTAGTTGCAAATGGTGTTATATTTAGAATTTCGATACCCAAAATTGGCGAGCTTTCCCTACTCGAAGATTGACGCACAGTCTTCATGGCCACCATATCCCATTTAATCTTGGGCCATATAAACACCGCTGAAAAACAATCTACAGAAAAATACATGCATTTAAAACACATGTTGACGTTGCCCAGAACAGTCAAAGAAGGCCTTAAGTATTTTTAAGGCTTAATTTTTCAGCATTAAGAACATTCATCGTGACCAGACCAATTCAATATCGTTTACTCGCCCCACCAAATAGGAATTTGATGTTTCAGTTGTTGCTAACCATTACAGACTGATTATGTGTACCAAGCGTAAATAACAGTTTGGTTAGCAGGTCATAGTAAATCATTTTTGTTCATAAAACCCCACGAAAATCTGTCAAACGGACCCCATAGGGCTGCCCATGGCTACCCCATCAATTTGTCTTTTAATCTACGTATTTTTTATTCTATCGAGTTTTGATAAGAGAAGCGTCTTAGTACCCCCTATAAAAAAAAAAAATATTTTTGTGCTTATGTTGGCTAACGTTTAAAATATATCAGATTTTACGTTTAAAATATAACGTTTGCATTTTTTTTTTTTCCATTTATTCACAAACATAATATATATATATATATATATATATATATATATATATATATATATATATATATACAGTCGATGTTCAGGATTCCAATTTTGGGTGCCCATTTTCAAAGCAGGCATATTTATACGACACAAAATTCTCGCCTCCATTTCTATTTCATTTTTTCTTATACTTTTCGGTGTGTATTTTCATTTGGCCAATTAATATGAAAGTATTTGTGAAAGTCCATTCATTTTTTGGGTAATGTGTGCGAGATTATAAGTGAACGAATCAATGCTTTCTTTATCTGCATAAAGAGAAATTGTCACGTGTCCTGTTCACCTAATAATATTCTGCATTTTCGATTGTCGCCAAACATGCAGAATACTGCGAACAATTTATATCCTTTTAAATGCCATTTCTATAAATAAAACAATAATGTGAATGTTCATCTGGAGGTTTAACGCTTTCTTTGCTGAAACCTTCAATCAATATTTTTCTTGTCTACTTTTTCAGTAACAAGCTGCTGAGGCATGAAGTTTCAAGTATAGGGAAGAAGGAAATATCTGACATCAGTTTAAACAAGTGATATCTGCAAAATACTGATAAAAGTCTACGTTACTTAATTTCTGTCAATACCAATATCACAGATTAACGATCATTACCGGAGAATTAGCGTTAAAAAAAAAAAAAAAAAAAAAAACTTATTTGAAATGAAGTAAAAATGAAACTTGATTTCTAACCGAATCAAATGTTTAACTTGTCACGGTATATTTCAATAAATAACACTTCGAATTAAGCTAAGTGGGTAAAAGCTGCTGGCTTGCAAAACAAAAGCTCGAACCAAATTAGTGCTTATTTCGTTTGAGGAGAGAACTGGACAAAAAAAAAAAATCGCACGATTGTTTTTGTTTAAATTTCATACCCACGAAACTGTTGTGATGAGATTCAATATCCGTTAGATTGAAAGTTTTCAATCAATGCAATTATTACAAATGAAAATTTAACACCTGATGATGCTACTACGTTTGCGTAAAGGACCGACTTTTTTAAATTAAATGTTTTGCCGCTCCTAATCAGTCGGTTTTAGAGCAATTATTGCAACTTATGTTACAGCAAAATAAATAAATGAATAAAAATAGGGTGCACAGTAGCACTTTTTACCAATGCATTCACAAAAAATGTAATTGCAACTAACGTTTTCGCTTATTGCCATGATCAGTGTGACAAAATAAACTCAATAGCTTAATTTATCGTGACACGATTAAATAACGTTTATCTTGTAGCATAAAAACAGTGATTACGATACAAAAACAAAAAATATCTATGTTCCCTACGAACGAGCACTTATGAATTTCGAAGATTTCTTGCGTTTCTATTTATTTAAAGTACAGTTTTCCTTGCTTGAAAATTGACAATATTGTAGAGCCGGTAGCAATACGAAATCTAAATCATGTTGTAGTCATAGCAATAGCTGCATCTTCCTGGTAGCAGTATGCATGATTGTATTGATAATTGGAAAATCGCTGACAATTTTGAAATAATCGACACCTCTTTCGTTTAAAAGACTTGGAATAAATTAAGAAAAGAAAAATATCGACTATGAAAGATATGTGGATAAAGGAAAGGTACACGAATTGAGATTTTCTTTCACTCTTTCATTATTCAGATTGTTTGGAGAGAAAGATAAAAAATAAATAAATAAACAATGCAAACACTTCAGGTAGATATTTTTTATAACAAATTTCACAAATACAAAACGTGTAATTGCTGATGAAAGGGTGTATTTTGCCCTAATTTGGAGTTATTTGTGATGAATATGACATCTATTCCATAAATTGTGTTTAGATACGGTGTTCGCCGGCCTTCTTAAACTTGTTGAAACCCACAAGTATCAGTTAATAATATTATTAAACAAGACATCAGAACAAATTTAATTGGAAGTAGTAAAAAACTGACCGCTAATAGAAATGATTTAGTCTTGTATGAAATAGACGCGAACTGATATTACTCAGTTTATCACCATATTGTTCCAGGGACTTGTAAAGAGCCACGACCTAAAGCTTTTGATAACACTTGAGATGGGAATTAACACAAAATATAGCAGATTTGGCAGCAAAACGGTAGTACAATAAACTCACTTATTGTTATGTTACTGTTTGTTTTTTTTTTCTGTCAGTAATATTTTTTTTATTGTAAACATAGCCTTTCTCCTTTGAACACGTGAACAGCCATCAACATGGAACCAAAATGAGACTGTTGTCGAAATTAGCGAGTTATGACCAAAAATGAAGGAAGCTGTTTTTTTTTGTTTTTTTAAAATTTCATTTGACTTTATCGGAGTTGGTTACGGAAGACTTGTTCAGCATTGAACTCGGACCGACAATCAAGAGGTCAAAAGTTCCAATCCAATTGATTGGCCTCTATCACTATTCAAATGTAAAAAGAAAAAGAATATAGCTTTCCTTTACCCAAACAAGATAGTTTTCGCGGCCAGCCAGTTTTGTAAAATCTATTATACTCAAAACAAAATAAAAATATACCGCTGTCTATTCGTACTAGCACAACAAAAATCAATTTCATAACTTACACGTGTTTTTTTCCGTTTCAATTATTTAAACTTAAAAACAGAAAAAAGTAAGTTTTTTTATTCCCCCCACCCACCCACATGTCTTAGTATTGTCAATATAGCGTTTGAAATTGAAGTTCAAAAGTAAATATGCAATACATCCTCTACCCATATTGACAATAAAAAGAAATCTCGGTTATATGCACAATTATTATTACTCAAACAAAAAAGTAGAAGGGAATTTTATGAGGGCTGCTCAGCATCAACCTCATTATGTTGTCCTATTTTATACATAACTTTCGCATGCACGTATTGTTTGTACACACACAAATGAAATAAAAAAAAAAAAAAAATTTTTAATCGACTGATAGACTGACTTATGAGAAAAAAAAGTGACATCTGCAAAATATTGATAAAACTTACGTTACACAATTATTAATTTCTATTAAAACCAATTACACGGAATTATAATTATTACCGGAGAATTAAAAGTAACTTATTTGAAATGAAGTGAAAGAAAGTCAGGATTTCTAATCAAATGTTTAGTTTCTTCAATATTGCACCAGTAGTAAATAAATAACCACAAAAACAGTCAGGTACACGAACTATTTTGCCGATTTCCTCGTTTCAAAAGAAAGAAAAAAAAAATGTATGTTTATTTTTCTAAATTTGAAGTGTGAATTGGATGCGTATATATGCGGCTGTTGAGGTTTTAAAAATGAATATTGATATTATGCACGTAAACTGTAAAAAAACAAAAAAAACAGAAGTTTGTGTACATAGCAGTGCAACGCAATCGAAAATTATTAAAACGTGCACACAAGTGTGCATGTATGTGCATCATGCATATTTGCATGTGAAAGCATGCACTTTTCAGTTTACTAAATTAAGTAAACACTCGTATTTTGACATTAGTTCTTCTTGTCAGTTGTTATCAATCCATACACTAGCACATTAAGGAGGTTGAATTACACACAAAATTCACATGTATTATTATTCAATATTTCAGTCTCATAGTTTGGGTGTAATTCTTAATACAAAATAATTACACTTTTAACAAAATTATAAAAAATACGCACTAAAGTTTGTTGAAGCAATTCTTCGAGTCATTCGTCTGACTTTTTAGTCAGAAACAATGGAGAGGAAGGAGAATTTAATCATGCTTTTGTTTGACTCTTGAGAAATGTTTTAAATTTTAGATCGAAATGCCTGGAATAAAAAAGCAGGGATAATTTGTTTTTCGTGTTGTTAAACGTAAGTTATAAATAATAGATAACATAATCATTAAAGAAAATGATTTTAGAAGATGCCGGTAAACTAGAAAGGTTCACTTACCAATCGGTGGCAACGGAATGTAGTCGAGTACGGAGAGATTGACTGTTTTTAGTTTGTTACTCGTTTGCTTTGTTGGGTGGTAGATCGGACGTTGGCACAAGTTATAAATAAATAGAAAGAGAGAGTGAATGAAATGAAAGGTGAGAATAAGAAAAAAAAGGAGGAGGAAGAGGATGTTAAAATGTAGAGAGAGAGGAAAAGAGAGATACGCAGGCGAATAAATAAGAGGAGTTGCGAAGTGTAAGTGTAAGAAAAGGGCAAAGATAGGCGTATAGAAAAAAATAGAAGAGAAAAGAAGATAGAAAAACTAAGAGAGGAAAGGAAGGACAAGCGGACTCTCTATGCCTCGAATCATGTGTATTTATTTGCATGTAAAAAAATTGTTAAAAAGGGCAATAGTTATAGAACGACCCTCAATAATTGCGTAAATACGCGTGTTAGTATTTTTACAAATGTTAATGCCGTTCGTTGCAGATTTTGCAAGCATAAAAATGTATTTGCTTTATGGATGAGATGAGGAATTTTATTGCATTATGGCAGCAAGGCACTTTGTTTGGAAGAACCACGAGGGGTCTATATGGAATTGAAGAAAGCAGTTGAAAAGGGCTTTTTATCAGTGTTTTTTTTTTTGTTTTTTTTACTTTAGTTTAAACGGGACAGGTGAGAAGAAAAAAAACTAAAGAAAGAACAGTTTCGTTTGTTTCGTTTTTTTTTTTTTGTTTTGTTTTGTTTTTTAGATTTAACACGGACGAAGGGGGAACGAAGCTTCATTTTATTTCACCGTAACCAACCTAACCTAGCACCTGAAAGACAGGGAAGTGTCAGCCCGAAGAAGAAAGTAAGTAAGTGTAGGGGTAAAAAAAGGAAATAATTCTTTTAAAATGAGATTAAAGGAAAGTAGAGACTAATGGGGTATGACAGAATGCTCACTGAGATAAAACTAAAAGAAAAATACGAACAGTAAAAGTCAAAAGTACAAGCAGATCGAGTAATAGAATATAAATTTTAGCAGTAGCAAGTCGATGCCTGGCCGATATGTTGCTATTATTGAGGCAGCAAACGTCCTGCTAAAGAAAGCGACCGGCCGGTCAGCCAGTTTATCCAGCTTACATGATTTTCTTCGTTCGGTCAGACAACGTCGTTCCAATGATTCTTTTCGGAACGATGTTTTCATTAAGGTGCCTAGATAAAGAAAAAAAAAAAAAAGACACTCGCAACTTGTCCCAATCTGTTGTGCGTCACTGGTCAAATTAATGTTTGTTATTGTTAATAATAATAATAATAACGATAATAATTGCTATTGCTGATGGTGTGCGTGCAGGAGAGTTGTTGGGATAATAATGCGTTCTTTTCGCATTTATTTTTAATCCAGGAATATATTGGGATTTTTCTCTTCTTCATCTTTAACTTCATTTATTTTATTTCATATGCCACCTTCATTTTCTTGACACTTTCTTTCTTACTTGCTTGCTTTTTTTCTTTCCCGATGTTTTCTGATTCTCTTTTTCCTGATGTTTATTCATTCTACTTTTTAAACGCTTTCTCTTTTATTAATTTATTCATTCTATAACTCTCTACCTTTTCTTTCTCTGTAATTCTCCCCTTTTTTTCTATTATCGTTTTGATTCTTTTTTATCTTCATTACCGCCATTTTCTTTTTTGCGTCTTCTGATTCATCTATTTTTCTTAACATTTTATTCCGTTTGTCTTTATTTTTTCATTGTGCATCTTATTTACCTAAACCATTTACTTCGGCTTCTATTTGAGATTAAACAAGTTCATCAATGCATGTGCGTAGACACAAGAGCAGATTTACAAGTTCACCGTTCACAATATGTCAATATGCCATAAATATCGAGACCAGTAACACCAAAAAAAAAAAAAAATCCTCCAAACATCTAATTAGTAACGCTGAACCCAAAACATGTCTTTTACTTTCAATTCTTTAACATGGCTAAATTCAGAAGTGATTCTCTGAAATTTGGAAAGTCAGCATCGTGTATTCTACAAGTCTATAAAAGGAGGAGTATGGTACTCTTTGCGTTTTCGTTTTAAAATGAAAAAGGCAATATGCCATTTCATTTAAAACATATCATCGAGCCCTCCACCCCTCAGAAAAAAAAATCATTTGCTCCCCCAACAAAAAATGAACTAATTTTAGTTTGCAAATTCTTAATCGCAGACTTAAAGACAGGTTATACAATTACTTTCATTAAAAGGTGAATATAAAATAATACGATACACTATTCATTTGTTCATTGCTTTTTCTCTTGAGAGGAGAATATAAAAATGTAAATAATAAAAAAGTGTAGATAAATAAATATTTATTATAACAGTCTCGGTTTGTTTATTACACATGCATTTAAATAATTAACAGAAAGAAATACGGTTAATAAAAAAATAAATTTGATGTGAAAGTTTTTTAAAAAAAATCTTTTTTTTTTTAACCTTTCTAAGGTTCAAAAAAGATCCGCCGAAAACAAGTCGGTCAATGGCGGTCGGTTTGCGATTTAATTTTCAAATTTCAAAAATATATACATTTCTTGACCAATCAGGTGGATGGCTTCCATCCACGAAAATTTAAAAGTTGAGATTCGCCTGGAGCCTATTTAGAGGTTATATGGAGAAATTCCAAACAAACGTCGGAGTTATCAATGAGATGTAGCGTGTCTAGGCCTCTCACCACATTTATTTAATTTTTATTTAAGAACCCAAACTGATATAAGAACAAGGCAAAGGTATCAATATATATATATATATATATATATATATATATATATATATATATATATAAATTGTATTCATCATCAAGCGTACAATAAAGAATATATACGAAAAAGAAGCATGCAATGAGTCAGACGAGAGTAGTATCTCTTTGACTATAAAAGTTTATCAGTGTTCTCTGAAAAAGAAATGAAAGAGTTGTTATTCTGTTATAAATGTTTTAGACAGTTCTGCCGTGCAAGAGGAAAATATGTAAGTGTGATAGAATATGTAATTTGAGAGTGAGTGAGAAGATGGGCGCATGTCTTCGACTGACGTGGATTCCAGTAGCAATCGAAGTCTCGATATTTATTGTATTTAGAATATAATTACGGTACGTGGCCAGAGGTGTGGAGGGGTTGAGGCTAGTCCACACTATCTTATACCTAGCTAATCCGATTCACGACCCATTCACTCATACAATTTGCCCATTCACCAGAAAAACTCGTCCGTCACCAATCAATCCTCCATGCACCATAATACCACATCATCTCCAGGGGGTCCTACAAAGCACGCCCCATGCCATAAAAATTTAATGATAATAAATTATTATATATAAAATTCTATGATGCAAAATGAGAGGGGAGGGAATGAACCTCAAAACAAACTAAATACGAACACAAGTAAAATAAACATAAATGATGTTAGTAGGGCTCGTCCAACCCTCAAAACAGAGGCCGCTGTATTCTACCCATTTGAACAAAATCAAGAAGCTCTCTCACTAAGGGAGTGGAAAAGGAGAAATTATAGAAGGATATGGGAAATATAAAAGCTGACCCAGTCGAGATGAAAAAAAGGTGGGGGGGCAAGACAAACTGGGGAGGTTGGGAATCTCAACTTCGATCATAACCAAAGAGGCAGCCGGGAGCAGGCCAGGAACAACATTTACTCACATTAACTAGGTACACAAAGCTTGTCTAACCTAACCAAGGGGAGGGCTCCGCAGGAAACCACCCCTATGTGACGTAGGTTGACCTAAAAGAGAAAATCAAGGCTAGCCCCGTTCACACGAACCAAGCTCGCCTCTTTCACCCACCTTTCGCTGAAGACTGTCGAATGCAAGTGTTTTCTACCAGTTCTAATCTTCATCTTGAGCTGATGCTCAAAGAATCGGATTAGATCCTGATGAGAAAGACGGTTGTCTCGCAAGACTTCCTCCGTTCGCGTGGTCCAAATCACCATTTGGGCCGTGGCCAGCAGCGTCAGAAACACCATTCATTTCACCCCGGAATACGGGGGCGACACATTGTCACACGCGAATGCGCGATCAATGAGCACGAGTTTTTCGGGAGCGATACGAGCCGTCAACTCGCCGACATGGTCCCATAAGGGGCGGACCCGAGGACAATGGTAGAAGGCGTGCGAAACCGTTTCTTCTAGACCAAGGCCACATCATTCACAGTCTGGCAAATCCGCCAAGCCCCATATGAAGATCTTGTTATTGAGAGGCAGCCGATTCCGAGCCAATCGCCAGGTAAGCGAAAACTCAGGGTTACTGAGATACTCCGCCACTGGCGCCCAAAATCAGAAAGAGCGAAACTCCTCCTCCGACAAATCGAGGTACTCACGTAGGGAATCCTTCGCGACCCCCTCCACTAAATGACGATAGAAGACCTTCCTAGGCTGAGAAAGGTCACTGGGCCGAGGAACAGCCAACAAGGCCGACCGACACTAGCGAAGGCAACCCGAATGAAACCGGGGTTTACGATGGCGCGAGATGGGAGGATGGGAGGACTGATATTAAAGAAAGGGAACGCATCCCTAACAATCCCCGCCATAATCGAATCTCCCGTCAATGCGCGGCGTAAGAAAGCCAACCTCGAGGCGAGTTTGTGGCTCGCCAAGTGTGGCAGTCCTAGCATCCCATGGCACGGACGTTGTGCACAGACTCGTCTGTCAACCCGATTCCAGCGAAAGCGAGCGCTCAAGCAGATTCCTATGGTCGTCACAGTGAGGAAGTACGGACAATCGGGAAAACGTAAGTGGCACACGCCTCCGCCCTGCCCTTCACGGACAACCTCCGTCGACGCCAAGTCTGACCGGCCGCGTCGACCTTTGCTCGAACTTCAGACCAATTTTTTCTCCATCTGGAGATTGGGTCCAAACCACACTCCAAGAATGCGGACAGGACCGTCCGTCCAACCGAAGGGCCCCGAAAGATCACCCCCTTCCGCAAGCCGGACGACTTTTTGCGGTTAATCTTGGCCCCTGTCACCTTTTCGTATCGATCAAGCGCCTTCAGTACCGCCTCAATGTCGCTGCGGGACGACACGAAAGCAGATACGTCATCGGCGTACGCGGAAAAAACTGGCTCGAGCACCTCCAGGAACGGCGATTCCGCGTAAGGCCGGACTGCACGTCCTGTCCTTCAGCCGGCGAAGGAGAGGCTCCAACGCCAAAGTATAAAGTAGGGCCGACAGTGGACAACCCTGACGAACCGACCTACCCGTTCACCTGTACCACAGCACTGGGGGAGCAATACAGGTGGCTAATCCAGCGGCAGAAGTCGGGTTCGAATCCGGCGGCCTGCAGGACAGCAGAAAG